CACACACACACACACACACACACACACACACACACACACACACACACCTATTTCATCACCTTTATCACAGGAGCAGCTAACTGCTCTAGGTGTGTGTTACCTATAGGTTTTCTCTAGATCACTCAGTACCCACAGATCTACGAGATGGTGTTGTCATTGCCTCTAATTACAGATAAAGAAACTAGGAGTCAGAAGGCTAATACTTTGTTCAGGCTCCACATGCAGAGAGCAAAAGAGCCAGGACTCCGAGATTTGACTGAAAACGGTGTGTTCATAGCCTTGTATCAGATTTGCATCCAGCATGTCAGCAGATCTTGTCCAACTCATGTCTGTTTCTGCATCTTCTAGAGTTCAGTTCCCCATGGCTGGCTCCTATCACTGGCCCAGCACTGGTCTTCGCTTTGTGGTGACAAGGGCAGCGACCATAGAGATAGAATTCTGTGCCTGGAGCCAGTTCTTGGGCAAGACTCCCCTGGAGCAGAGTCACATGGTGGCTGGGCCTCTGTTTGACATCAAGGCTGAGCAGGGAGCTGTTGACGCTGTGTATCTGCCTCATTTTGTGGCTCTCCAAGGTAACCAAGGGAAGGATAGGCAGGAGGGTGAGTGGTAGTGGGAGGTTTTCCTGGTCATAGAGGAGAACGTAGGATGATAGAGAGGTTGATGAGGAAAGAGCTCATGGCTTTCTTAGAGAGACACAGAGGGTCATGAAGGTAGAGCTTACCTAAAAGAGTCCCTAAGTAGGAACTGATGTCCTCAGCTGCAATATTTTTAACTCTTTTTATTTTTCTTTGTGTCTTTCAAACCATGCATCTCCATCCCATTTCCCCACTCCCTTCATATCTGTTCTCTGCCCATGCAACATCCTCCCACAATTAAATAAAATAAAATAAAATTTAAGTGGAAAAAAAATCAATCTCGGGCTGGAGAGATGGCTCAGAGGTTAAGAGCACTGGCTGCTCTTCCAGAGGTCCTGAGTTCAATTCCCAGCAACCACATGGTGGCTCACAACCATCTGTAATGAGATCTGGTGTGCGAGCATATATGCAGGCAAAATGTTGTATACATAACTAAGTAAATAAATAAATCTTTTTAAAAAGTCAATCTCATCATGTAAGCTTCAGTGTGACACGCTGAGTCACACCACATCCACGTATCTTTTCTTGCGAATGTTCACTACAAAGAATCATTGGTCTTGTTCAAGGCCTCTGGTTTCTGCTACACTGTTAATTCTGGGCCTCAGTGGAACTCCTCTCGGATATTCTGTTGTTTCCCTGTGTTGAGGAGATCCTGCAGCTTTGTGTTTGCAGGGCCAGTCCCTACACAGTGCTCCAGCAGATCACAGATGGGGTGGATGTTGTGCTGGGCCAACTCATAATCCTCGTTCTGGGCCTGGGTTCTTTCAGGGTTGGTCAGCCCTTCAGTTCTCCCTTGTCCTCACCACCAGGATAAGCTCTCCTGCACTGTCTTGGTGAGTTCACCCTTTGCGCTGATGAGCAAGGGGTGGGGCCAGTTCTCCTGCTTTCATATCCACAGGGTCAGATCTCCCATGCTTACACCTTCAGGTCAGCTCTATGGTGTTGCCCAGGCAAGGTGCAGGGGAGACTATCCCAAGTGCTGCAGCGGATGAGGGTCAGGGGCAGCTCTCCCACCTGCCTCAGATATTGGTAGGTAGGGGGTAGGGTGAGGGAGGACATCTCTCCACTGCCCGGGCTACTTATCAGTAGCAATATTAACTGGCATTTCTTAAGTGTTTTTTACATATCATATTCCTTTGGCTTCTAACAGGAAATGGGATAAATCAAGCTATTTTAAGAGATTTTTCTAAAGACTATGTACCAAGTGAACTAACGGACAACCTTTAGTACCAAAGTCTGTCAGCATGTGAAAAACATTACCATCCCTACAGGCATGGAGAAGATGGGAGTCACCAGCTTCCATTTGAGAACTAGAGATCCATCAGCTGGGCCTGGGAAAGGGAATTTTCCTCCAAGGAATTAGGGGGCCTTTGAGTGCAAAGGAATATATCCAAAGCCTCCTGAGCTGCAGGTCAGATTTGGACAGGGATGAATTCACCAAACTGGTAACAATGTCTTTTGAGGTCTCCTGGGAAGGACAAGATCAAGGTGCTAGTGCATTCAGTGTCTAGAAAAGACTATTCTCTTTGTAAATGGCATTTTCTACCTGTTCCTTCAAATGGCAGAAAAGGCCCCTTGGCTCTTTCCTAAGCCCGTTCAAGAGGGTTCTACATTCATGCCCTCATTGCCTCCCTAAAGATCCATCCAAATCCATTCCCCTGGATTAGGATTATGAGAGGTCAGGGTCATTCATACCTCCCCCAGAAGGTCTCTCTGAGACTGAGTCCTGGCCTCTACTATCCCAAGCCTGGCTCAGTCAGGCACTTAATCTATGTCTTCTGACTCCGTTCTTGGACAGGAATTCAGGACACCTCAAAGTTCCAAGTGGCCCACTTTCTGAAGGACGGGGTGGTCTTGGAGACGCCAGCCAAAGTGGAGCCACATTGCACGGTTCTAAAAGAACCCAGCTTCTCTACCTTAGGAGTGATGCTGAAAATCATCCCTGTCACCCGGCGATTCCTACCCATCACCTCCATCACGTTGCTCTACCATCAACCTCATGCTGAGGAGCACAAATTCCACCTTTACCTCATCCCCAATGACTGCACTATTCGAAAGGTAACACGGAGAACCACAAAGGCCCATCCAAGGTGGGCTGATGGAAAACATGAGATGCAGTCAGAGAGTATCCCAGCGGGGTGCTCTCCTGGGAGTAAGAGTGGGACTCTAGTGAACGGTCCCTGGTATGGGTGAGTGATCTGTCCTCTGCTCAGCTTTGGTCTGCTTCCCTCAACCCCAAGTCTCCCCTGCATCTACTGTTCCTTTGCTCATCTCTGCACAGCCTTCTAGGGCTTCTCTCATGGCATTAGAAGAACAGGGAGGCTCCACGCCCAACCTGCAACCTTTCCCTCCTACTTCTCTGTCAGCGACTCTATGACCACCGTGAACATGGAACAACCTAGAGTGGGGCGGTCTGTTCGGTACATGGGAAAGAGGGCTGCAGAGGGTTTGTTTCCATCCCCACCACCACCGTCACTCCCACTTCCGTGCACACACACAAAAGAACCAACATCTCACCTTATTCGATGAGATTATATAGAGAAGAAATTATTATCTGTTATCTTCCTTAGGCTATAGATGATGAAGAAATGAAGTTCCAGTTTGTGCGAATACACAAGCCTCCCCCAATGGGCTCCCTTTATGTGGGCTCTCGCTATACCGTGTCTGGTTCAGGGACTATGGAAATTACACCCAAGGTAAACGACCTGATACTTGTCCTTCACCAAGGTCTGATGTCAGGCTTGGGAAAACCTGTAGGGTGGGTCTTCCAGGAACTCACACTTGAGGTTTGGAGGAAAGCGATTGAGACCCACGGTGAATAGACTAGCTAACTAGATGGATGGACTAAGTTAGGGCACAGTAGTGTTTAGGATGTACTGTGCCAAAGCCAGAGTCAAATGAACCTGGCTTATTATTCATCATAGGGCATCTCAGTAAAATGGTTCTAGAAAGAAACCACTGTAGGATGTCTGTCGTTTGGTAATTGGCAGGAAGGACTAAGAAAGCCTATTTCCTCTGTCTTGGGTATTGTCATAGAGCAGGGACAATTCCATGCCTGATCTCAACAAACTGAATGCTATTATGGTGAAACCAAAACAAGTAGAGTATTGGGATTGTTGCCCATACAAGACTCATGTAGTGTGTACTGTTAGGGTGTTTAGGATTCTATGGGCTCCATGGTAACCTGTTTAAAGAAGATGCTTTGTGCATGTCCAGTGGAAAAGCAGTAATACAGCTGGCCTGCAAGCCTTGGAACACTTTGCACCAACACTGAGATTTAGCTCTGAGTCTGAGATTTTTCCAGGACACCAGGGGCTGCTTTTGACTTTTTCGCTCTCAGTGTATACTCTCCTAATAGTCTTTGACCAAAAGCTACTGAGCATTAATCTGTTTTCCCCAAATGTCCATAACTCTCTCAGATTTTCTGCTTGTGAACAGAAAGCATATGTGAATGGTGGTCTGTGGCTGAGCCAGAGTCAGATGCATGTGAGTTCAGTCTGAAAGATCTATCAGGACACTGGCTGGCAACTGTATATAAGACCCCAGATAAGCCAGGTGCTGGCACAATGCTTTAGTCCCAGCTCCTGGGAGGTAGGGGCAGATGGATCTCTGTAAGTTCAAGGCCAGCCTGGTCTATGGTCTACAGAGCTAGTCCAGCACAGCCAGGGCTACACAGAGAAACCCTGTCCAAAAAAATAAAATTAAAAAAAAAACCTCAAAACTAAAAAACAAAATGACAAAAAAAAGGGGCTGAGGAAATGACAGCAAAGTATGATTTCATAGAAGCATGAAGGCCTGAGTTAAGTCCCCCAGGACACAGATCAAAAGCTGCATGTAATTCCAGTGCTGGGAAGACAGAGACAGGAGGATCCTTTGGGAAAGCTGGCCAGCCTAGCAAAAACTAAGGTGGAGTCTTGTGAGCAAGACGGCTCAATGGATAAAGGCACTTGCCACCACACCTAACAACCTAAGTCTGATCCCTGGAGCCCACATGGTACATGGAGAGAATTGACTCCATCAAGCTGTCCTCTGACCTCCATATGCACACCATGGCACATGTACACACACACACACACACACACCCTGATGGTCCTGTTTAATATTGACCTAGGTGACAGGTACTGAAAGGAGGTGATATCTGCTTTTGAGTTGGAAATTAGGAATCAAAGGATAAATTGGCAAGACGCTCAGTTTGGAGCCCTCCTGCATATCAGTTGCTAACAATTGATAAGAGAGAGATAATCTATTCATTTAGTGGGTGTTAACCTAGTGCCATGAATATGCTTCAAGGAAGTTAGGTCAGTGGAGTGGACAGACAGTCCTGCATGAATAAGAGTAACCAGTACCACTGAGAGCTAGCAAGTAAATACAGCATTGTGAGAGAGTGACTCGGGATCGCTTCTCAGCCTTTTGATCAAGATCAATTGTAGGATCTGCACTTAGCAGAGAATGAGTTGGCTACTCCCACTGGCAGTCAGAGAGACACCTCTGAGAAGATGCCACTTGAGTTGAGGCCTCAGTGACATAAAGACTTGAGGCATGTAGGATTCTGAAGTGCATCAGACACAGACCATGTGCAGAGGCACAGAGGTGAGAGCAAGCTTGAAATAACTGAGTGTCAAAGAGGAGGTCAGCGTGGCAGAGTTGGTGCATGTAGCAGAAAATGGGGTCACAATAGAGATCTCCCAGGGCCATTGGTCCATTTGACCCTGTTAAAGGGCTTTGATTTTGTCCAAGTACAAAGGTAAGACTCCATCATGAACATGACACATGAACATGACATAAATCATAATCATAAACATTGTGCAGGACTTCATTTACTCTGATAAAGATGTGTCTAGCACTAGGAGAGAATGGATGACAAGTGGACTAGAGCAGAGTAGAAACGAGTCAAAGGGCTGCAGATGAGAGGCCATGGTAGCTTAACTAAGGAAGCAGCCATGGAGGTGAATGGTTGATAGACTCAGAAAACTGACAGCACAGGAAACTGTCAGGACCCAAAGGATCATGGGTCTTTGTGGCAGGTATCCAAATTGATCTTCTTGGTAAAGGCAACAGGCTTTGATAAACGGGTTGTTATGGGAAGAGAAAGGAACAGGTTATAGATGGTGCCTAGACGGGGACCTGAGCACTCACCAGAAAGTTGTACAATTTTCTGAGTTTGAAGAGACTTGGGAAGGGCATTCTTAAAAGACAGTTGGGAATCAAGTCTTCTGTCTTGGATTGGATTTGCCTAGGAAAAGGGATAGATGTAAATTTTCTGTTGACTGGAAACAGCTTAGGTTTAAGACTTGTTAGGAATGAAATTTTGTACTGAAGGAATAAGGGCTTGGGTTCAAGATAGGAAGTAAGGGGGGAAGTCCCAATTAAAGATGGACAGCCAGGTGGTTGGTGGCACATGCCTTTAATCCTAGCACTCAAGAGGCAGACAGGTAGATCTCTGAGCTCAAGGTCAACCTGGTCTACAGGGTGAGTTCCAGGACAGCCAGGGCTATAAAGAGAAATTCTGTCTAAAGGAAAGAAAAAGATGAAGGGGAAAGTGTTTGGCTTAGAATATCTGGGCACTGCTTTGAGAAAGACCCTTGAGCTGGTCCGTGAATTTTCCTCAGGGCTCTCACCCTTCTGAGGTAGGACATGTTGTCAATGTTGTTGATTGGCTTCAGCAGGCAGGAAAATGTCCTTCTGTAATGGAGTAGGACCCAAAAGGTATTAAAGTGGGAAAAGCCTCATCTTCAAACAAGCAATGGCTGCTCACACAGAGGTTCTTGCTCTCTCCAGGAACTGGAGCTGTGCTACCGGAGCTCCACGGAAGCCCAGCTCTTCTCAGAGATCTATGTGGGCCGCTTACAATCAGGGATCCGGCTGGAAATAAAAGACAAGAATGCTGATGCTGTAGTTTGGGAAACCGTGTTGAAACCAGGTAAATGCAGGACAAATCCAAGGTGTACACACGTAGGAGAAAGATCTATGATGGGCCAGGTGATAAGAAATGTCCCCAGAGAAATGATGTGTCTCTAAGTTATAGAGACACAATCTGACCAGAATTTCAACTCTTCCAGAAGTCCTGAGTTTGTTTCCCAGCACCCATGTTTCATGACTACTTATAACTCCAGCTCCAGGGGATCCAGCACCCTCTTCTGGGCTCTATAGGCACCTACACGCATGTGCATAGGCACACACACAAGCATAATTTAAAATTACAAAAATAATTCTTCAAAAATATTAAAGAGGAAAGGGAATAGATTTCTACTCAAAGTGTCAAGTACTTTAACCTATCCTCTGACTTGGTTAGTTCTTCTCCAGGAATTTAATTTAGGCTAAGACAGGCTAAGATGGGTTGAGATGATGTTGGAAGAAATTGCTATTATTCATTTAGAAATTATCCTTCTTGTTATTAGTCTAAAATTATAACTTCTGGCTTCAGCTTCCTAAAGACATAAGGAAAGAATTCACCTAAGTTTTGTCTGTAGGTCCATCCTACCCTCGGGCCGGATGCTGACAGAGTTCATCTGCAGCTTGTTCTCAGAATCCAGGCATCTAGATGAGAGATTCGGGGTATGTCGTGTGAGTTTATAATAGCCCTGCTATAGATGCTTCTTCATCTCTCCTTTCCTCTAGGGGACCTCAAACCTGCATCCAACCTGGTCGCTGCAGCCTCTACAGGTCAGTAGCATCTGCCAGATCAGATGAGGTAGCTGGAATTTCAGGGTGCATGCACTATCTGGTTCTGGACGGAAAGGAAAGAAGAAAAGAGGGGACCCTCACTTTGCAGGCCTCACCAGGGTGGGGTTGGAGAGCTTTACATCCAGAGTCCCCATGCTCCTTGCTGCTGGCAATAGGGGCCATAGCACACAACCTTTCCTGTTCCCATGGGGGTGTCAGGCTGGACACCGACATGAGGGGAGATGAGGGGTTTCTCTGGTAGTCAAAAGGCTTTCCAGACTGAAAAGGAAGCCAGTGACACAATGAGATAAGAATCGGAAGTGGAGAATGAGCCAGGAGAGGCTGCAGTGGGAATCTTTCCTGGATCATTACCAGTCTTGCCTTCACCCACAGTCGCCAGACCCTTCCGGCACTTTGTGGACCAGCATCGGGAGCAGCTGGTGGCCCGAGTGACTTCAGTGGACCCTGTCTTAGACAGACTGCACGGTCAAGTGTTGAGTGAAGAGCAGTACGAGATGATTCGTGCTGAGGCCACCAATCCCAACAAGATGCGGAGGCTGTTCAGCTATAGTCAGTCCTGGGACCGGGCCAGCAAAAGTCAGTTCTACCAAGCTCTGAAGGAGACCCATTCTTACCTGATCTTAGAACTCTGGGAGGTGTGGGCCAGGGCTCTTGGGGAATGGGTTTCCTGAAAGCTCAGCAGCTGAAGCCTGAGCCTTGAATCACGTTCCTGCCTGATCTTTCTTTTGGCCTCAGTCCTACCATCTGTGATCCCCCTTGGCTTCGTCTTGGTCTGTAAAGCTTCCAACAGTCTTGCCAGCTGCAGGACGCATTCTCAGAGATGTCATTATTCCCTCTGGACAGCCTACCTGGGAAAGCCAAGGGGGCCATCTGGGTGACTGTGAGGCATCCTTGGCAGTGGACATACTTTATGAGTCCACTCACAATGGCTTACAGTTTAAAACTTAAAAATTGTTTGTTTCTGGAATTGTCCATGTAATGTTTTCAGGCCACACTCTACTTTGAGCTAATTAAAAACCCTGCCTTTAAAAAACAAACAAACAAACAAACAAAAAGTACACAACGGGCACTGGGTACAATATCTTGATTTCACTGCTTGGTGGGTGAAGGAGATCAACATTCCACAACTATACGGTTAGGAACTGTAGCACTGTATACAAATGTCAGAAGGATTGTGAACTTTCCAGTGCCCAGCAGACTCAAGCTTAGAGGACAAAGAAGCTGCAGATAGCAGGCTGCTAAAAGTGGTTAAAACAGTAGCAGCAAACAGAAGCAAAGAGCCCCACCCCACACAGAGAACTACTGAGCAGTAACACTCAGAGTAACTGTAACACTTCTCAGAACTAGAACAACATTCCACTGCTACTGAGAATTCAAAGCTCTTTCATTTGAATCTCATTTAAAGCCCTGATGAATGAAGTGAGCAGCCTGGACACAGCAAGCATCTGCAAACATCACAGCAGAAACCGCTATAGCCTTTCCTACCCGTATGCAAGAGAAGGGTGAAGCTCTGGGGTCTTTCCACCACTGGGTTTGATAGCTCTTCTCTGGTTGGTGCTATTTCTTCACCTTATTTGCATATTCACATTTAGCCAGCTAGGCTCTAGCTAGCATCCTGACAAACAAGTCCCCACATTTCAGGGCTATAAAGCCAGAACTATTGCAAGAACCCATGGAAAAAGAGGAAAGGAAGACTTTCAAGCCTGGTGCTCCTGCTCTCCAGGAAAAAAACAAAAACGCCCTTTGTACTTCAAAGAGCCTACCCAAACACCTACCTCACTCATGAAGAGGGCAGACTTGCAGGAGGTGCCTGCACCTGAGGTTTTTCTGTCCTGGGCAAGGAGCTTGCTCAAAGCCAGCTTCTAGGACTCAGTTGCTTTGGCCTCAGCCTCCAGGACTTGGCACTGGCTGGGTGGCAAAGGGGAATTTATTCCTGCGACTGTTTCCAGCCTCCAAGAACTGCTGCTTCAGCGATCTGTGACTCCAACCTTCCAGACCCTCTGGAGACAGGAGAACAGGAGACGGGCGGGAGTTCACGCCCCTCCTGTAGGTACCCACGGACTTGCTCCACAAGGGGCTGCTCTTGGCTGGCATCCCTGAGCTCTGCAGGCTGCTGAGTTGAAACACTCCCCTTCGCTGGAACACTTCTCAGAACTGTGAGAACACCCCACTGCTACAGAGAGTTCAAACCTGTTTCATTTTAGTCCCATGTGGAAGTCTGTTTTAAATTGTTTTGCTCCCCTTGAACCTTGCCAATCCCAATTTGAAAAATAAAATACCTATCATTTGTACTCAATTCTGTCTGCCCACTCCGTTCTTGAGGGGAAAGGGATAAGAACGTGGTAGGGGACAGAAGACAGTCTCCACCTACCACTTGGCAAGCATAAAAAAGAAAAGAAAATTAGGAGGCAAAAACCCACACCATGCCTCAGTTCCATCTACTTCGTAAGTATGAGGAGTAAGCCAAATAAACCCTTCCTCCCCCAGTTGCTTTGGCCATAGTGTTTAATCACAGCCATAGTAACCCTAAGACAGAAACTGGTACCAGGATAATGGGGTATTGACGTGAGAGACCTGACCGTGTGTTTGGGGGAGGACTGTAGAAGGACTTTGGACTAGAAAACTCATTGATTGAGCTTGGGGGAGAGGGGAGGACTGTTCTGTAGGAGTTTGGAAGATAAAAACATTGCTGAACTGTAGAAGTCTGAACTGGAGCCTGCAGTTCTAGAAGATCTGCCAATCTTTCCCCTGGGAAAGGAGGGGAACCCAAAAGTGCTGAGTCCTCCCACTTGTGTATACAGGAAACCCCAGGATCTGCTAATGTTTCTAGTGGGAGCAGCTAGCCTTGGGCCTTCAGAGCTTGCCCGCTTCTGCCACCTGCAGGATGGAGCCGCAACAGCACCCATAATTCTGAAGAGGGCTGAATGCGGGGCTGTAAGTAAGCAGAGGAGGAGAAAGCAGACAAGAGTCCAGGTGGGGAGCAGTCAAAGCTGAGAGCTAGAGGGAGGGCGTCACTGAGAGCCAGCATCCTCCTAACGACTAATGTCACCCATAGACAAAGGCACACTCATACACACACACAAAGAGTTCCTTGATTAGGTTTCCAGGGTCCAGGCAGTCGATATACTAACACAGGTTGTTCTAAATAACTTGGTGCCTACCCAAGATAAACAAGTGCACACGGCCATACAAAGACTTGTAAACAAGTGGCCGAGAAGCTAAACCTTTAATAGTTAAAAATCTAGACACAACCCCAAACCCACTAACAGATAAATAGAAAAATGCTTTGTGGTGATATGCACATGGGAGAATACTGTATTAAAATTAGCAATTACAGCCGTGCCGTGGTGGCGCACGCCTTTAATCCCAGCACTCGGGAGGCAGAGGCAGGCGGATCTCTGTGAGTTTGAGGCCAGCCTGGTCTACAAGAGCTAGTTCCAGGACAGGCACCAAAAACTAGAGAGAAACCATGTCTCAAAAATAAAAAATAAAAAAATTTTAAAAATTAGCAATTACAAATAAACTGCTGGAATCCACTTACGGGTGAGTACACACCATGTTTTTCTCTCTGGGTCTGGGTTACCTCACTCAGGATGTTTTTTCTAGTTCCATCCATTTGCATGTAAATTTCAAGATGTCATTGTTTTTAACTGCTGAATAGTACTCCATTGTATAAATGTCCCACATTTTCTTTATCCATTCTTCAGTTGGGGGACATCTAGGTTGTTTCTAGGTTCTGGCTATTACAAATAATGCTGCTATGAGCATAGCTGAGCAAATGTCCTTGTGATATGAGTGTGCATCCTTTCCTTATATGCCCAAGCTGGGTCTTGCAGTAGGTTGATTTCTAATTTTCTGAGAAACTGCCACACTGACTTACAAAGTAGCTGTACAAGTTTGCACTCCCACCAAATGGAGGAGTTTTCCCCTTACTTTACATCCTCTCCAGCATGTTATATCATTGGTGTTTTTGATCGTATCCATTCTGACCAGTGTAAGATGGTATCTCAGAGTCATTTTGATTTGCATTTCCCTGATTGCTAAGACTGTTGAGCATGTCCTTAAGTATCTTTTGGCCATTTGCAATTCTTCTGTTGAGAATTTTCTGTTTAGATCTGTACCACATTTTTATTGGATTATTTGGTAATTTGATGTCTAGTTTCTTGAGTTCTTTTTATATTCTGGAGATCAGTTCTCTGTCTGATGTTGGGTTAGTGAAGATCTTTTCCCATTCTGTAGGCTGCTGTTTTGTCTTATTGACTGTGTCCTTCGCTTTATAGAAGCTTCTCAGTTTCAGGAAGTCCAGTTTATTAATTGTTGCTCTCAGTCTGTGCTACTGGTGTTATATTTAGGAAGTGGTCTCCTGCACTCCTGCGTTCAAGGCTACTTCCCACTTTCTCTTCCATGAGCGTCAGTGTGGTTGGATTTACATTGAGGTAAAGCAAAGGATAACCAGCTCATAGTCTATGATCCCTGAGAAGCAAAGTAACAAGGAAAACCCTAAGAGAAGCATACTTGGACCCCCTTCTGGGAAGGGGAAACCGACAAAATCTCCTGAGAAAATTAGGAAGGGAGGAGAGGAAGGGTGTTAAGGGAAAGGGAGAAGGAGAGGGATAAGGAGAACATGAGGGAATGGGATGCTCAAGAAAGGAGAAGGGCAGTGCAGCAGAGAAAGGAAAGAGATATCTTGACTGAGGGAGCCATAAAAGGGCTAGAGAGAAACCTGGCACTAGGGAAATTCACAGGAATCCACAAGGATGACCCTAGATAAGACTAAACAACAATGGAGAGTTCGCCTGTACTGTCCTTCCCCTGTAACCAGATTGATGACTACCTTAATTGTCATCATAGAACCTTCAACCAGCAACTGATGGAAGCAGATACAGAGACCCACAGCGAAGCACTGGGCCAAGCAAACCGAGACCAGCCCAAGAGAGGGAGGCGCGATAATATGAGCAAAGGGGTCAAGACCATGATAGTGATGCCCACAGAAACAGCTGAGCTAGTGAGAGCTCACTGACTTGGGACTGATTGTGGGGGAACCTGCATAGGACCAAACTAGGTCCCCAGAATGTGAGGGACAGTTGTGAGGCTTAGGCAGTCTGTGGGCCACTGGCAGTGGGACCAGGATTTAGCCCCTAGTGCTTGAACTGCCCTATAGTAGTGTATTCTTTTTGGAGGGATACCTTGCTCAGTCTAGATGTAGTGGGGAGGGCCTTGGTCTTGCCTCCAAGGGAAGTGTCTGCCTTTGTTGACTCCCCATGGGAAGCCTTACCCTTTCTGAGGAGTGAATGGGGGGTGGGGTGGAGAGAAGGATGGAGAGGTGGGAGTGGGGATGGGATAACTATGTAAAATGAGTAAAGATTGTATTTAAAAATTCTTTAAAAAAATAAATAAACATATAACAAAATGCAAAGATAAAATAAACTACTAGGACGGAGCAATAACTCAGCATTTAAGAACACCGGCTGCTCTTCCAGAGGCCCATATGGCCCACAACTGTCTGTAACTCCAGTTCCAGGGGATCTGACACCCTTGCACAGACATATACAGGCAAAATACCAATGCACATGAAATAAAAATAAATAAATTTTAAAAAAATAAACCATCAAGGGTGAAAGGGTGGGAGTGTGGACCTGGGAGGGATGGGAAAATGAGTATGATTGGGTGAAATTCCCAAATAATTAATTAAAATATTATGTTGGAGAGAGGGGAAAAAAACTACTAAAAAATGGTATAAAATTTTTGGAATTAAAATATTAAATTTAAAATGCTAGAGGGGAAATAAATGCTCACTACATGATTCCAGTTACACAAAATTGTGGCTTAGAGTACTGCGTTAGCTTCTGAGAGTGAACTGTTTTAAGCATCCAGCCCCTCTGTCACTCACTGCTGGCCTTTCATGCAGGCTTCCTCCATGGTGTTGTAGCTGCCTTAGTAGAAGCCATCACCAGATAAAGCTGCCTAGCTAGCCTCCAGAACTAGAGGCCACCCGGCCTCATGTATTGTGTTATAATAACAAAAGTCATAGTATCACATGTCTGTTATCCAAGCTACCTAGGAAACTGAGGCAAGAAGCTCACTTGAGAACTGGAGTTCAGGGCCAGTCTCGGGAGCATAGTAAGACCACAGAGGTCTCCCTGAGATGTGCCTTCATCACGGGGACCAAGGTTTTTTGTTTTGTGGACAGATAACTATTTATGGGAGATAATCATATTCAGAAGAGGTTATTGCTTATTACTGACTGCTAGAAAAAGTATGACTGCTAGAGAAAGTATGGGGAGGGACAAAAAGGAGTGATTCCAAAGGAGCATGAAGATATATGAGAAAATATACAGTTATGATTGTAATGATGGTGGCTTCATTTTATATGTCCAAGCATTTAATTTTTGTATACATACATAGTATGTCACTATTATATACAAATATAATGAAACTGTAAAACATCTTAAGGTGAGGAACTTGTCACTGAGGCAGTTCATCCCATTTTCTGTCAAACTTTGGCTCTAACTGTTCTGTAGTGGGGCGTGCCTTTCTTTTGTGGGAATGATTGGAGCCATATGTCCAATGATATCCCTGTACCAGCTCATGTTACAGCAGAATTAACACTGTGTGTGATGACTAACGTGTCAGACTCGGCACCGCCAAGATTTCCTGGAAGCCTGACCACACCAGGAAGAGAAGCGCTGGAACTATGCAAGAAGATTCTGTCCTCCCATTAACTGACCACACCGCCCAACTGCTGGAGACTCACAGTGGCTTCGCCATGGAGCCCCATTAACTGACCACACCGCCCAACTGCTGGAGACTCACAGTGGCTTTGCCATGGAGCCCCATTAACTGATCACACCACCCAAGTGCTGGAGTCTCGTGATGGCTTCACCATGGAATCCTAGCCCGTTCTCTGTTGTTATAACAGAATACCTGAAGCTCAGTACTTTGTTTTTTAAAGTCTTGCATATAGTTCTGGAGGCTAGGTAGGCAGCTTTATCTGAAGATGGCTTCTGCTAAACCAATTACCGCACCATGGAGGGAGCCTACATAAAAGTCCAGCAGTGTCAAAGGTACTGAATGCTTCTAACAACTCACTCTTGGGAACAAATCTACTCTTCAAAGATCTACCTCTCTCTGAAGAAATGAGCATTAATCCCTTCCGAATATGATTATCTTCCACAAAACAGTTATCCACCCACAAAACAAACAAATGGCGGGGGGGGGGGACATGAACCCTGAGATGAAGGCACATCCCAGGGAGAACTCTGTGGTCAAGGAGCCAGGCATATGCTCACAAGGCAG